TTTTTTATATTTTAAAATTATTTTTGATGTGATTATATTAAAATTAAAATTTTAAAATTAAAAAAATATTATTTTAATATATTTCTGAGTAGATTATATTTTAAAAAACAACTAATACTGTCATTCTAAACCTCTAAACCTCTCCTGTAAGCTTTATTAATTCAAAAATATTTTCATGTTAAAGTGCAAACAGTAAACCATTTCCTTTTGACTTTTGTCAGATTATTTTATGTTATCCAAGTGGCTAAAGGTTTTAATTTCATCTTCAACCGGAAATTATGGCTGTAAAGGGACAAAACTTGCATTGTTGCAGCGTTTAAATGCCATACCTTTCTGTTTTTAATATTTGATTTTGACCAAATGTATGATCACTGAAACTTCCATTGATCTATATCTGTGGTTTTTTTTAAAAAAAAACTCAGGCCAGAGTTTGTTTTTTTTCTGCACTTTCTTACTGTCTGGACAAGAAGAGCGTAGCAACCCTCTATCCATTTTTCATATTCATAGGAATTGTTAGCAAATTCTTCTGGATGCTGTTGGAAAGATGATACTTAAAGAAGACGAAGCTCTTTAACTACCAAACCAACCCTTTAGTGTTAAACGATAAAATACACTGTCAAAATAAAAAATAAAAAATCTAAAAAGGTGAAAATAAAGGGTTATTCCATGTTTTATAATGTCCCTCAACTTTTTTTCTTTTTAGAACAAGAAGAGATCATTGCCATCAAGCAGATGGGAAAGGGAAGACAAGATGCATGGAACTTTAAACCCAAGCAGCAAAGTCATTCTCCCTGTACACTCCTTGGGCACCTAGGCCATCGATCTGAGCTTCATTTCATCGTTCACGTGAGACATGATTGATGAGGGTTATTGATTTGACCTGCTTTATAAAACAGCTGCTAATGCTATTTGACAGCACCATAGTGAAGATAAATTCCTAAAATTATATATAAAAAAAGAGATAAATTCGTAAACTTATGCATTCTATGAGTTTAGCTCTGAATAATGCATTAATTCTCTTAAGCGCTTTGGAGTTTATTGAGGTGCCTTTTAAGGAATTATAATATCCTTTTCTCTAATCTTGCAATGTCTTGAAATGAATATTTAATTTATAACAGAGTAAATAAGGAATAAAAAAACAATAATGTCTTGAAATGAATATTTAATATTTAATTTATTGGGGAGCGCTTTGTTTTTTTTATTGACTTCCATTAGTCACTTGAGACAGGAAAAAGTTAACGTGGTTGGGATGCATTGACACGTGGCAAAAATAGGCCCCACTAGTGATTATTCAAAGAATAAACAAGATAGAAGCCTTCGTTTATTACTTTATTACAGTATCCAACCTTCTTACTCTATCAATTAGGGCACCCAATTTTTATTTTTATTTTCTATTTAAAGGTTCCTCAATTACCTTAGACTGAAAAACACTAACGTCGTCTGGATCTACTGACAAATGGCAGCGTCTGACTGACACGTGATAAATATGGGTCCCACTATAAATATATATTAAAAAAGGAGAGAAAAGACACGTGATAAATATGGGTCCCACTATAAATATGTACTAATAAAAAAACATTCCGTTTGAATATTAATATATATGTAATATTAATATTTTTTATTTTTGAGAAAATTTTAATTGATGAAAAAAATTATTTAAAGAACTTATTTTAACGTTTTTTTTTTGACACATGACTTTTCTTCAATAAAAGAAGTATTTTGATCTTTCATTAGAGCTGAAATCAGGGAAGAAAAACTAAATTTTTTTTTTTAATTTTTGGCTGTTTTTTAGCTCTTCCATTTTAGATATCCATTAAAATAGAAGAGCTAAAAAATATATATTTTGATTTTCATTTGGTTTTCTCTCTCTCTCAATTGTAACTAAATTTTATACATTTTTTCTGAATAAATTAGTGGAACCCACCTTTTGCCATGTGTCTATTAGAGACAGAGTCACATGTAAATGGAGCCCAACCATGTCAGCATTTTCTTCTCTTAGTTGACTAGGGGAAATCAAATTAAAAAAATTTAAAAAAATAGATAGAGTAAAAGGTTGAACACTAAAGTAGAGAGATCCTTGAAATGAATATTTAATATTTAATTTACTGGGGTGCGCTTTGTTTTTTTTTTTTATTGACTTCCATTAGTCACTTGAGACAGGAAAAAGTTAACGTGGTTGGGATGCATTGACACGTGGAAAAAATAGGCCCCACTAGTGATTATTCAAAGAATAAACAAGATAGAAGCCTTCGTTTATTACTTTATTACAGTATCCAACCTTCTTGCTCTATCAATTAGAGCACCCAATTTTTATTTTTATTTTCTATTTAAAAGTTCCCTCAATTACCTTAGACTGAAAAACACTAACGTCGTCTGGATCTACTGACAAATGGCAGCGTCTAACTGACACGTGATAAATATGGGTCCCACTATAAATATATATTAAAAAAGGCGAGAAAAGACACGTGATAAATATGGGTCCCACTATAAATATGTACTAATAAAAAAACAGTGCGTTTTGAATATTAATATATATGTGATATTAATATTTTTTATTTTTAAGAAAATTTTAATTGATGAAAAAAATTATTTAAAAAAATTATTTTAACGTTTTAGTTTTTTTTTTTGATACATGACTTTTCTTCGATAAAAAAAGTATTTTGATCTTTTATTAGAGTTGAAATCAGGAAAGAAAAACTAAAATATTTTTTCTTTAATTTTTGACTGTTTTTTAGCTCTTCCATTTTAGATATCCATTAAAATAGAAGAGCTAAAAAATATATATTTTGATTTTCAATTGTTTTTCTCTCTCTCAATTTTAACTAAATTTTATACATTTTTTCTGAATAAATTAGTGGAACCCACCTTTTGCCATGTGTCTATTACAGACAGAGTCACATGTAAATGGAGTCCAACCATGTCAGCATTTTCTCCTCTTAGTTGACTAAGGGAAATCAAATAAAAAAATTAAAAAAATAGATAGAGTAAAAGACTGAACACTAAAGTAGAGAGACCTCACATATATCAGAGGATGATACTGGCCACGTCACCATTTTGTGATCTCCGAATAAATAAATTAGTTCGAAGTTTGGACACTGAAATAAATAGAATAAAAAATAAGACACTAAGACAGAACAATAGTCGAAGAGGAGACAGTATCACTAAACACTTGACTATATATGTACCAATAAAGAATTCCCCCGGCAATGAGGAGGTGTACGCATTGCTAGTTACAAATTAATTTCATTTCAAAAATTCTAATTTTTAAAAAATATATAATTCGACCGCAAAGAATAAACACTGTCTCTCTCAAATATTAATTTCATTGCCAACTTCTACCAACGTCTAGTTCATTAATTCAACAGTTTTTGATGGTTCATATAATAATGAACCAGCCTGCTATGGGCCGAGATGGCTTTAATAATGCTTCCTGGTATTTGACATCACCGGTAGAGGAAAGGGCACCGCTAGCTGGTTTGAATGAAATGATCCTAGCTAGGATGTTAAAGTAGTTTTAGATACTAAAAAATATGTTTTCAAGAAGAATTACAGGCCATTATCTTACTATTCTCATCCCGTTCTCATATAAAAGTGATTTAAAAGGAAGAGATTTCATGAAGAGCCCCCCCTACTCATCGCATACAAAGAATATGAAATAGCTTGCTGGGATTCTCATTCTATCCAATTGTCATCTCAGTGTCTCTCTTTTTCAGAGTTTCTTATCCTGCTGCTAGGGTTTCACTAGCTCCTTTTTCAGGGTTCTCATTTCTTCTACTACGTAAAGTTGTATCTGTTAATGTTCTTTCCATGTACACCATGACCTCGCATGGTCTTCCTTTGTCTAGTCCCACAGTGGATGAAAATTTAGAGGCAGAGGAGAAAATTGTATAATTCTTTGATGACGAAGATATTGCCATTGGTCTCTATAGTTGTCAACTGAGTCTTATTGGTAACGTTTTGTCAGATAAACCTGTTAATAAGGTGCTGCTTCGTGATTTTATATAGATAGTTTGGAGGAAGCCTGCTGAAAAAGGTTTTCAGATACTGCAAGAGTATGGGGATGGTTTATTTCATTTTTTCTTTGATTATGTGCACGATCTCGTGACTGTACTCTTAAGGGAGGTACGTTTCTTCTTAAGAATAACTTGCTAGTTTTACAGAGATGGGAACGAGATAAAGCATTAATGGATATGGAGGCCTTTTATCGTGTTCCACTCTGGGTGCAACCATGGGGTCTTCCTGTTTATTTCCATACAGAAGAGATGGGGGATAGGATTGGGTCAAGGCCTGGCACTGTGCTAAAGGTGGCATAGTTAGGTGCAAATTGAATTGGATGTCCAGAAACCACTCGGACAGGATAACTCCGATTTAGAGTTGGAAATGATGTTGGGTGTTTGATATTCATATCTTATTAATTACTTATATATTTATTTATTAAATAAAAATTTAAATATTCATAAATTATTTATCTTATTTCAAGGATTTTATCCATATAAGGGAATTTCGGATATACAAAGGAGATTTGCATTCTTTTTATTTTTATGCAAAGGGGTTTCTAACAAATATTCAGGATTTTCAATGCTAGATGTAATTATTATATATTAAAGAGATTAATGTAATTCATCCCTGCTTTTATTTGCCAATATGAGATCCCGAGTCTGCTTGAGATAAGGATTCCTAATTAAATTTCAAATTAAATTAAACTATGAGATTCTTTTATTTATATAAAGTTGTAGATGAAAGGAAACTGAAGATATGCATGTGAAAATAAAACTCCTTTTTGTTCTTGTTTTTCCTTAAAACAAAAACTCACGTAAAAATACCTACTATATAAATCCTAGTATACAATGAGAGTTCCGAGGTTCATAAATCCTTGTGCAAACAGTTTTCACTTATCCTGCGAAGAATCTCCGTGAAGCCTACTTCATCTCCTAACTCTTGCTTGCCTAGCATAACAAATCCTTCTCAATAAGTTCTTGACCTACCTTTTTTATATGTTCATGGCTGAGATATCTGAGATTAAGGCCGTGGAAATTGAGGCTGATCATGAGGAATGTTCGATAAAGCAAGTAGATCTTACAGTTCCGAAAACCGATGATCCCACCATGTCAGTTTTGACATTCAGAATGTGGGTTCTTGGTCTTGGTTCTTGTATCATTCTATCCTCTGTAAACCAGTTTTTCTGGTACAGGTCGCAGCCATTGACTGTTTCCTCTATTTCTGCACAGATTGCTGTGGTGCCTTTAGGGCATCTAATGGCTAAAAAACTGTCGACTCGTAAGTTCTTTGAGGGTACAAGATGGGAGTTCGCATTGAATCCTGGACCCTTTAATATAAAGGAACATGTGTTGATTACAATTTTTGCGAATTCTGGTGCCGGAACTGTCTATGCTGCTCATATTCTTACCTCTGTTAAGATATATTATCAGAGGAAACTTACTTTCATTCCAGCCTTATTTATTATGATCACCACTCAGGTTTGTTCATCACTATTTTTCTTTTTTTGTTAGATTTGGAATGCTTAAATAGCATACTTAATATTACATGATCAGTGAATGTTTTGTTAATCTGTTTAATGTTTTACATAATTTAAATTTTTGTGCATGTTTCTAAATTAATTTGAGAAGAACTCTTACTGGTTAATGAAATCTAAGACTGAGCCTGAGAGTCACAGTAGTTAATTTTACTGTTCATTAGCTGATTTATGAACGATTACTGCAATTTCCTTGCGTTTCTTACCGTCAGTGATCCAAATGATGGAAATTTACAAGGATTGTGTCAAATTCTGCAAATGCATGTTACTTGGAAGAAAATTCTGAGTGGTTTCTGATCTTTCTATTGACCTTTCTGAATTTGTAGATGCTAGGATTTGGTTGGGCAGGAATTTTCAGGAAATATTTGGTTGAGCCAGGGGAGATGTGGTGGCCATCTAATCTGGTTCAAGTCTCATTGTTCAGGTACATTTGTGTATTTTCTTTCTATATTTTGAACAAACCAGCTCTACTGTTTTTTAGGAAGTCTATACCTTCTAACTGGTATGAATCTATGATTAATAACGCAGGGCTCTACATGAGAGAGAGAGAAGGCCAAAAGGCGGTACAACCCGTACCCAGTACTTCCTGCTAGTCATGATCTCCGCTTTTGCATACTACATCTTGCCTGGCTATCTTTTCACTATGTTATCATCTTTTTCCTGGGTCTGTTGGCTTGGTTCCAAGTCTGTTTTGGTTCAGCAGCTAGGTTCAGGATTATCGGGATTTGGAATAGGTGCTGTAGGATTTGACTGGGCTACAATTTCATCTTATCTTGGGAGCCCCCTTGCCAGTCCATGGTTTGCTACTGCCAATGTTGCCGTTGGATTTTTCCTGATCATGTATGTGATGACACCCCTCTGTTACTGTCTCAATGTCTACAATGCCAAGAACTTCCCTTTATATTCCAATGACCTATACACAGCTACGGGTCAGGAATACAAAATCCTTGAGATTATCAACTCGAAATTTCATCTCGATAGGGATGCTTATGCAGAGCATGGACCTGTGCATATGAGCACTTTCTTCGCTATGACTTATGGCTTGGGTTTTGCCACACTTTCTGCTACTGTTATGCATGTCTTACTCTTTAGTGGAAGGTATACTCCGTCAAATTTAGTTACTGTAGACTGAAATGACATTGGCTTTTCTGTTCTAATTTTTGTGTTCGTACCTTCCACTTGCAGTGACCTATGGAAGCAAAGCAAGATGGCCTTTGGGGCCAGAAGGAAAATGGATATACATACAAGGCTAATGAAGAAATATAAGTCAATTCCCATGTGGTGGTTTTTTCTCATTCTTGTTGCAAATATTGCTGCTATAATCTTTGCTTGTGAGCATTACAATGCTGCACTTCAGTTGCGTTGGTGGGGTGTTTTACTAGCTTGTGCCATCGCCTTCTTCTTCACCCTCCCAATTGGTATAATTAGTGCCACTACAAACCAGGTAAAAATTGTCGAAACCTTTGATTCTTATCAAGTCGATTGTCCATCATCATATGCTGAATTTCTTACTCTTGCCGGTGAACAGCAACCAGGATTGAATATTATCACAGAATATATAATAGGGTACCTGTATCCAGAGCGGCCTGTTGCTAATATGTGCTTCAAGGTGTATGGATATATAAGCATGGCTCAAGCTCTAACATTCCTGGCAGATTTTAAGCTAGGCCACTACATGAAAATTCCACCTAGATCAATGTTCATGGCGCAGGTCAGTTTTTTGTGCGTTTCAAATCAGTGCATAACATGATGTACGAGGCTCAATAATGAACATAATGACTTTGCAGGTGGTAGGAACACTTGTGGCTGTACTTGTATACCTAGGAACTGCCTGGTGGATGATGGATGCTGTTCCCAATCTTTGCGCAGCAGACAACGGCCCATGGAGATGTCCACAGGACAGTGTGTTCTTTAATGCCTCTGTCATATGGGGGCTGGTTGGGCCTCGCAGAATCTTTGGAAACCTCGGTGAATATGGCAATGTCAACTGGTTTTTTCTGGGAGGTGCTGTAGCTCCTCTCATAGTCTGGATTTTTCACAAGGCATTCCCAAGCAAGACATGGATCGGCCTCATTCACATGCCAATCATGTTAGGTGCCACAGCAATGATGCCTCCAGCTTCTTCTGTGAACTACACCAGCTGGATTATCATAGGATTCCTCTCAGGATATGTTCTTTTCAGACATCGAACAGAATGGTGGAAACGTTATAATTATGTTCTCTCTGGCGGTCTTGATGCCGGGACAGCCTTTATGACTCTGTTGATCTTTTTTGGTCTTGGATTCTGGAATGTTGGTCTGCTATGGTGGGGAAGCAACCCGGACAACCAAGAAGGATGCCCCTTGGCTAGCTGTCCAACTGCCAAAGGGATCCTTGTCGATGGCTGCCCAGTTTTCTGATCAATCTTTCTTTCACTCTCATTTCACTTTTCTACAGTAATTTTAGTTCTGTAAATATATATCCACGGCTGAATGCTGATGCTGCTCTGACAATTACAGTTTATTTTCTTGATAATACACATTTTCGCTACGTTATTATGCATTTTCTACTTGAGTGATATCAACTAATTGTTGTTGTCTCATCTCATTCCGTCTCGATCTAGCTATTTATTTTATTTATATCTGGATCTCCAAGGAATAGCTCATGGCTGGATTTGGTTGATCAAACCACTAAAACATAAAAATAAAAATTATTATAATTTTAAAATTTATTATTTAAAAAAAAACTCAAGTCACAAATTAGCTAGAAGAGTCAATATAAAAATAAAAATAAAAATTATTAAAATTTTAAAACTTGATTTGAGGATCGATCTTAACAAAAACCATATCATAGGTTGAGATAGTTAGCTTGGGATCATTCCCATTAATATAAAAATAAAAATAATTATTATCATTATTTTTAAACCTGAATTGAGAACCAACCTGAGATAAGACCCGAGTCACAAGTTGGATAGATTGATTTAGGTCAATATATATACAAAAGTTTTTATAAAACTCAACTCGGAGGTTGATTAGAACAAGGTTACAATCATAGGTAAGGAGGGTTAACTTAATTCGCTAGATTTTTTTTTTTAAATAACCAAAGTAATCTTGTTTTTAACGAAACAAAAATTCAAAAAAAAAATGTTAACAAGATTTTGACTCATGTTTATCCTAAGTTAATAAGGGTTTTTGACAGGGCCAAATCGAGTTAATTATTTTTTTATTTTTTTTAAAACTCAAACTATTTCAAGCCTTGACTCGTTTAGGTACCAGATGAACCTGCTATGACAATCCGAGTTTTATAACTTATATTAATATAATATTATTAATTTTAACAATCAATATAAACAAAAATAAAAACAAATCTAATTAGTTTTTAAAATATACAAGTTTAATAATAATTTATATTAATGTTAAAATAACCTTTTATATTTTATCATGTCTTATTCATCATAACCAAATAAAATACAAATATAATTATTTTATTTTGTACATCACTTTCATACACCATTCTCTTTCCATCTTATTTTTCTCTCGATCTAGCTATTTATTTTATTTATACCTGGATCTCCAAGGAATAGATCATGGCTCGATTTGGTTGATAAAGCACTAAAAAATAAAAATAAAAATTATTATAATTTTAAAATTTATTATTTAAGAACAAACTCAAATCACAAGTTAGCTAAATAGGAAGGTCAACATAAAAATAAAAATAATTATTATCAAAATTTTAAAATTTAACTTGAGAATCGTTAGCTTGGGATCATTCTCGTTGATATAAAAATAAAAATAATTAGCTTAGATTAGGATCATCCTCGTTAATATAAAAATAAAAATAAAAATTATTATTATTTTTAAATCCGAATTGAGAATCAACATAAAATAAGACCCGAATCATAGATTAGATAAATTAACTTAGATTGACTTAGATCAATATATATACAAATTTTTTTATAAAACTCAACTTACACTAGGACAAGGTTACAATCATAGGTAAGGAGGGTTAACTTGATTGGTTAAATTTTTTTAAAAAAATAACCAAAGTAATCTTGTTTTGAACGAAACAAAAATTCAAAAAACAAATTAACAAGATTTTGACTCATGTTTATCCTAAGTTAATAAGGGTTTTTGACAGAGTTAAATCGAGTCAATTATTCTTTTATTTTTTTAAAACTCAAACTATTTCAAGCCTTGACTCGTTTAGGTACCAGATGAACCTGCTATGACAATCCGAGTTTTATAACTTATATTAATATAATATTATTAATTTTAACAATCAATATAAACAAAAATAAAAACAAATCTAATTAGTTTTTAAAATATACAAGTTTAATAATAATTTATATTAATGTTAAAATAACCTTTTATATTTTATCATGTCTTATTCATTATAATCAAATAAAATACAAATATAATTATTTTATCTTTTACATCACTTTCATACACCCTTCTCTTTCCATCTTATCTTTTATATTTCTATTGTCTCCATTTTTTATTTTATTTTATCATTGAATGCTAACCAAATGCTACTAAAGTATTCATTCACTTCATTATTAAACTTATTAGAATTACACAAGATCGAGTACCATTAATTAAATAAGTAATTTAGGCATTTTGTAAAAGTATAGTGTTTTTCGGTGGCGGAGCCACAATGGAAATTAAGGGGGGCAATTGTCCCCTTAATGTTTTTTAATATTTTTTAAATTTTTTAATATAATAATTTAATAAGATTTTTTTTTGAATTATTGTTCATACCTCCTTTTTTTCTACAATTTTTTTTAAATTCTAAACTATTAATTAATTAAGGAATCTTTTATACTTTATGCTTAATGTTTTAGGTAAGTTTCCTTTATTTTTTCTATTTATTTAATTGTTTAATTTTAATTTTTTTCCTTAATAATATGATAATTTATGGATTTGCTAAATTAATATATGTATATATAATATTATATGTATATGAATGTGAATTGAAATGAGTTTTGATGAATTAATATGTATTTTGTTATGAATTTCATATGATAAATGATGGTAATCAATGTACTAGTGATTAAAAATGAAGTATTGAACAACTAAAAAAAATTAGAGATACAATAAAAAAATTTAAAAAAAATATATTAATATTTATATTTAACCCACTTATGTAAAACAACAAATTAACAAAGAATTTTTGCCAATAATTTCACTAGTTCCTAGAAGATTTAAAAATAGATGAATGAAAATTTCATTATATATATTGAGAAAGAATATCTTTAATGAAATTAATAATCAAGTCATTATTAAGCAATTTTAAAATATAAAAACTTGAAAAAAATAATTATAATGTAAGTTTTTTCATTTTAAAAATATTTTTAAATTAATTTCTCTATATATAACACATGTTTATATAATATATAATATCAAATATTTATAATTCTGGCTCCACCACTAGTATTTTTTTTTTAATAAATATACTTAAATTAGCTTATACATCAACCACATTTTTTTTTATAATATTAATTAAATCACACTTCTATATTGAAAGAAGGGAAAATATATAAAAGATGTCCCGGACTACAAAAACTCTATAAAATTTTAAAACCTTGCAAGATAGATGTCGCAGGAAATTGAGATTTTTGTTGAACTTTAATATCTTATATTAACTCCAACTCTTACTAGTTTGATCACCTAGGAACTAGCCAAACCCCTCCTAATCAGCTGGATTTTTTAAATTTATTAATTGAGAGAATAACAAATTCCTTTTTTATATGTTCTTGATGGATTTCAATAAATTCAATTTCTTTTTGCAAAATAAGCTGAATAATTAATAAGAGAATTCATTTCGCACGTTTTCTTAGCCATAATTGTTTTTATTTAGAGTGTTCTATTTGTTTCCTAGCTAGTTTATTTAGAATTTTAGGAACTTCGATGTTTATTTAATTCTTGGAACTCATGATGTTTCGTACTAAATTAGGTCGAAAATAAGATTACGTGAAGAGACAGGTAATTTGCCGAGTTTAGAGTTCAAATTCTAATTGATCTGTTACTTTCGAATCATAACTGGAGCTACGTAATTCGATTTTAAGTGTTTCTTATGCTTTTGGAAAGGAGAGACACATGCCTACAATTCTTACGAGGAGTAAGGAGCTAGTCTTGCTGTTTGAAAGCATGTAAAGTCCATATCAATCATGGAGTCTTCGCAGCTGACACTGTCTCGGTTTTTTGGCCTGTATATGAGAGTTATAGAAGTCAAAAAATTGCAAGAACAGATGCGTTGGAAAGATGATTTGAAGGGCTGCAATTCTTCCAGGACTAGAAAGTTCGTAGTTCACTCGTTTCTCACCCAAAATCAGCCCGCAACCTAAGGCAAAATACATGGCAGATTAGGAGAACGATTCCCTCTCTCTGTTTTTTTTTTTAATGTAAGGCCCAAGGTAAATAAACTCCATTTTAACAGCTGCTAGGGGCGGCGGAGCATTCAGAACATAGACAGGGAGTCAGCGTCTTGACAACGAAAAAAAACAGAAAAAAACAAGAGCAGAGCAAGTTTAAGCAAGAGATTGCGCAACGACTTAATTAAGATATGACGACTTCCAATCTATTGAATTTTCAATGCTTAATGTATCATGTTTGTTTCCTTTTCAGTTTGATGATGTAATAAAATTTTTGTTCTGAAATTTTCATGTAACCTAATTATGATTGCGTGAATAATTTATTAATTAAATTAAATTATTTTTTTAGTCGAGTATTTCATTTTAAATTTAATAATTTAATGCTTGTGTAGCTTTGGTTTGGAATACTAGAAGGAATTTATAGAATAAAACAATGTAAATACTTGCGCGTACTCTTTAGAGCGTGTTTAGTAATGTGATAATAGTTGCTTTTCAAATAATTTTTCGTATCGAAATGCATGTTAATGATATTTTTTTATTTTTTAAAAATTATTTTTAACATCAATAAATCAAAACTATTCAAAACGTATAAATTATATTAAATTTTAATAAAAAACAAAAAAAATTAATTTTTTTAAAAACACATATTAAACTAACAAAAAAAATTAAATTTTTTAAAAACACATATTAAAGTGTGTTCCCAAACAATTCTTTAAAGGTTTTATCATGCTTAAGATCTCCACGAAAATGCAAGGGTTTGCTTGCTAAAATAATCTGAATAAATTAGTGAAACTTGATTATAAATAATAATTAACATCAATAATCTTTAACTATATTTCTACATACATATATTTATGCTCATGTCTCTATTACTTATTTATTTTTCTAAAATCTCTAAATTCCTCCTCCTCCTTCTTGTTTTCTTCATTCAATCATACACATACTTTATGTAAAGAAATAGGAAATAAAATTACAAACCTCATCTTCAATGCCGTCTTGGGGGATGGTTGTTGGCTGAAATTTTTGAAAAGTAAGTGGATTGAATTATTAATGGAAAGAAGGATAAATAAAAGAGAGACGATCATCAAACTTTAAAGATAAGAAAATCATTACTCCATGATCATCATCACTCTAAGATCAATAATCTTAGTTGATTAAAAAAACAAAGATAAAAACACAAAATAAATCTGAAAAATATATAAAGACGTATATGTTCTAACTTTCTCCATCCTTTTTACTCAAAAACAATAATCAAATGCTATTTCAAGAATGCATATATGCCACCATCTTAAAATTGAGTTCATAATATCCCACAATTCCGTATAATCCATACTGAAGGAATATATAACAAGCTAAGATAAAACCTTAACTTTGTTATATATCAACTCAACAATTCTCTCTCCTTCGTAGTGTTACATAAACTATGAGATACATTAGTTTCATATATATATATATATATATATATATGGACATGCGAGGAAAGACAACTGCAAGTGAGTTTCAACCGACACATCATGAGCTATAGAAGAAAAACCTGGTCCTGTATTAAACCACTACTTTGACAAAATCACAAGTAGAATAAATGAATACTGGTCAGGAGAAACAGGTAAGTCGAATAATTTAATTAATATTGTTTTGATATGCTTGACTTTCATATGCTCTCAATCTTAGTAGTGTTACCTCATTTAAATTTCATGCTGACAGATATCATATGATCTTGTTTCTAGATAGCTTACGTAATTTTTGAGAGCTTTTTCTTACAAGTCAAAAGGAGAGTTGAGTGTCGATGTCACAGGAAATTAAACACGCTCATGAAAAATCAAAGTGTTGGCTTTTCGGTGGAAATGATTTTCGAAATGGGTGACAACTAGATGCTTTTTACTTATTATCACATTTGCTCAAGATAAGATTACGGGCTGGTCAAAGATAAGGTTACTCTTTTCTTTTTTTTTTCAATTAAAGAAACAGTTTAATAACTTAATATTTTATATAAAATTTAAAGATATAATTTATATTATTTTTTAATATATTTTTGAAATAAAAAATTTTTAAATTTAAAACTTATATAAATATTAAGTACCTTATATTTAATTTATATTAAATAAATAAAAATAATGAAATTTAAACTTATAAATACAATACTTTGTTTTCAAAACTCTTACATGAAATCAGAGAATTATTTTAATTTAATAATTTAAATTTTTAGATAAAATCTTAATATATAACTTATATTAACATTCTTGTTAATGTCTTTTTTAAAAAAATATTTTCACTGTAAATTCTCGGGAAAAATATCTTTGTGCTGTATCAAAATCATTAACTAGCTAGAACTGAAGGGGTTTGGTCCTTCGGTTTGTTCTTTTGATCAAGGAATTTTGTTCTCTTTTTAAATTAAGATCTTGAAGCTAACATAAGGGGTTGAGTTGAGGATTTCAATTTGGTGCTTTTGTGATTTTTCCCCTCAATTTATCTGTTTTAAAATTGAATTAAACTTAATTCACTTAGTTTTAAAATTTTTATTCAGCGTCAACTAAAACAAATAGCATAAACTAAATAATTCTCCGCGCTACGTTAAAAAAATCTTTTACATGTAAAAAAGTGATACCAAGATCAAGTGAAATGCTTTAATAGTTCATTAAATTTAATTCAACAGGTTGAATCTGAAATCTCTCGACGATACAAAACATCGGGAATTTAAATAGTATTTTTACCATATTACTTCTCATTAAAAAAAAAATCATGGCACGGCTGGTGGGTATATTATTGTTATTTTTTATTGTACTCATTAGTTATTATTAAATTAATTGGAGCAAATTAATTTTTTTTATTTTTAAAATACAATATAGTTACTAATTTAACCTTGGTTGAGGAAAAAAATAACTCAGGTTGTTCTGATTTTTTACTTAGTTTCAGCATAGTTAAATTATTTCATTCCTCTTGGAATTAAAAAAACTTATACTTGGGTTTAGGGTATTTTAATCTTTTTAATTTGATTATTTTGTAATTCTCAGGTTTTTTTTTATGGGTGATAGGGTCATTATCTAAAAAAAATAAAATTAAAAAAGGTTAAGAATGCATAAATAGTCATCATAAGTTTTGGCGCCGGCAGCCCTCCACTACCGGGAAGTGCTCGTGGTCTGAATGATCAAATTATAAGCATTAAGCATCATCAAGAGACAAGAAATTGACAGATTATTTATTCTCATGGGGTCTCCCAAAGCAATTACATGGAAGAATAACCACAAGCTCAACTGATTACTATAGCCTATTTTGTCATCTATATACACCTGGTTTTGTGGAATTTTTTTTTCTGCAGTCCCTTTTAGCTTCAATTTTTTTTTTTTTCCTGTTGTTGTATGATCGGAAATTATTCTTCCTCGTAGTTGCTTTTGGAAACAAAACCCTCATATGTAATATTGCTCAAGTTGATGTCACCACATAAATCCTCTCCAGAGCTAAAATCAAACTCATTTCCTGGACTCTGGCTCTCAAACTTGAATTCTGAACTAAAAATGTCGCCGCTCGAACCATGGCTCAGTGAATTATGATACTCACCACCAAATCCTCTTTCATCCATTAAGCAATCATGAATGAAATTGTCTTGGAAGCTCGTATTATGATCAAATGTACTGTTTGAATCCATAGGCTCACCTAAACTTGCGAAGCTGTCAAGTGAAAGCCACTCTGCAAACGTAACCTTTGGTGATAGGGAGCTTCCTTTAGGTTCTTTAGGAGACTCAAACATCTGCGGAACTGACCGGTCGATTTCAGCTGATGGTTTTTCCGTACTCATTGATGACTCAAGACTTGAAGCTTGCATTTTGAGTCTCTTCGGAGATGGTGAAAGTTCCATAATGTCTGAGTTTAAGCTGTCAGATTGGAGTTCTTTTCAAAGACTCCATTCCTTCATCTTTGAGCAACTTTTTCTCCAAGTAGGAATGCCAATGATTCTATATCTCATTATCTGTTCTTCCAGAAAAATGCTGCGCTACCTGAGACCACCTAGTCAGTTTAAAACAGATTGTCTCCATTAGTTCCGCTTTATTGACACAAAAGACGTGGAATCTCTACTTTGATCAGGAATAATGCAGTGGTTAATTAAAGCTAAATGCAGAAACACTAATCCCATAACGTTTCTGCGAATTCAGCTCAAAGAATTCAGGGATTTTAAATCGAAATCATATTCTTCTATTTCCTTGCATCATTGTTTAGGTTACAAAATTCGGTTTGACCTGCAATGGCCTGTTATCTGTTCATAGAAAAAGTCCCCTGGCAACCCTCATAGCATAATGTGGCTTGATTTGGTGAAGGCAGTTGCCTTGCTAGACAGTTCTGAAAATGCATGCTAGGCTAGCGTTGAGTACTAATCTATATTATTTGACCTAAATGATCATGATCATCCAAGCCCTAACTCCTACCATTTAATTTTCTTTGAAGGGGTCACCCACCTAATTCTATAAGAGTGATGCTTTTTAATAACTATAATTATCTGCGATGAAGGGCCAGGATTGTCTCTTCTTCTTCTGCAGAAGGCATCCCTCTTCGTAATCCTGGTCTCAAGTAATTAATCCATCTAATCTGCAGCTCTTCCCATTCCTCTGCAAGCCTGCATTAGTACAATATTTAGTGTTTCATGATCATGAAGACCTGGAAAAGTCAACTCATTAGGGCTTTCAAGCTAGTTGTTTTATGAGGAAGCCATCATCAATCCTTTTCTCTTGAAATCTAGAGATTCTACTGCGAATGCTGTCTGGATGATGCAAGCTGACATCTAAATTTCTAACTAGTTAACCAGCTGAATTAGCCAATCGATGATGAGAGGTTGGTAAATCTTAAGCTTGGCTTAACTCAAAGAGTAATGAAGACATTTCAGTAATTTTGATGACTTCTTACATAATACATGACCATTATTTTTTAACAAATTATATGTACAAGAGTATTTATAAAGAAATTGTAAACAATCATCTTAAAATTTTGATTAATCAAAACTATATAACACTTCTTCGTCGTTAATAAATTAAATCAATCCCATTAACATGAAACCTTTTGTACCCCTCCTTTTGCCCTCTAAATTTTGAATATAGTAAATTTACCTGGTGTTTTTTTTTTAATATTTAGTTTTTTTTTAAATAAATTATTATTTAATATTAAGTTAATTAAATATTAAGTTTTTTTATTCAACTAAAAAGTAGAATTTGACAAATTACATATTTAAAAAATTAACTTGAATTTGCTTTTTTTTTTTTCCTTCTTTTTTTAAGCTTTTTGTTTTTTCCTGTTTCATCTTTTTACATTTTATTTTTGCTTTCTACAAGATTTTCAAGTTATTTTAAAAGTAACATGGGTTAGGTTGAGTTTTTTCTATTAAATTTAGTTTTTTTTAAAAAAAATTATTTTCAAATTAAATTAACTTAATTAAGTAATATAACAATAAACTAGTTCCTTCATGATATATTTCTTTTTGTTTGCTTTCCTGATTGTTGTTCTCGCATGTAATCTTTTTCAATTACTTAAATTTTAGATTTTTTTATTTCTTTAAAAATATTGATGTCAAATGAGCATTTTTTTTGTATGATAGAAAAAAAATTGTCTGTCCCGAACCATCTAACTAATAATTTCTAAATGAGAATAAACCGAGAGGTTCTCATTGCATCAAATTCAAATTTGCTTATTGATTTATAAAGTTTTTGTTTTTATTGTTCAACCTATTTTTTAAGCATTTTTCACTTGTAAAAATCACCAAATTGATATTTTAAGGTGTTTTTTTAGTTATTTTAATGAGATAATGTAAAAAAATCTTAAAAAAGTATTATTTTAATTTTTTTTTAATTGAAAAATACTTTTAAAAAATGTATGTATATATTATCAAAAACACTATTATTCTGAATAGTAATTAATGTAAAGCAAGTTTTGTTCAAAACAGTAGCTCATTTTTCCCAAAAAATAAAAAATTTGACAACAAACAAAAATGGATTGGAGAAACACCTCTAGGAATAAAAAGGAAATCTCTCTCTCCTCCACAAGACATACATTATCTTTCAAACCTTATTTTAGGCTGCCGCCAATGCCATCCCCTTCCTTGTGTTTCTTATATATATATATATATATGAAATTTTTAGATTTTTTTTTTATTTCATACAATCAAGGTTTAATCATTTCAGATTTGATTTATAGGCATGACTCTTCATTCATATAAGAGTTTTGTATATTCAAATTTGAGAGTTTAGGTCATTTATATAAAGATTTAGAAATTATATCATGTTATATAAAAATGCTCGGCATCTATTGAGAATATTAAATGATTAAAATCTTTCATTAAAGAGGTCTTTTAGGACCGCTCATTTCTCCTTTGATTATCAGAGCAAAAGACTCGTTTGCGAGTGTGAACTCGAAGAAAAGTCAGGTGCTCAAACTTTGATTAGAATGTTGAATAGACTTAGATATTGTCATCCATGAAAAGACATAATGTTATGTATAATATATAATGATTAAACTTGGCATGATATGAGTCAATGCAAGTAAATTCGAAAAACAAAATTGAGATTTTAATATTTAATATTAATTTTTTTAAAAAAATTATATTTAAACTATATATAATTATTTTATATGGAAAATTAATAAATATTTTATGTGTATTTAGTCTATATATATATATATCCAATAAAAAATTAAAAAATAATCCATATAGATAGAATACACACACAGTATATTTTAAGAAATATTTCATATATATAAATGAAAAATATACTATATCTATTCAGTAAAATATTTCTTAATTTTTCAATGATATTCAAGAGTCCAAAATCACTGCAGCTTTCTTATTAAAAAATTGTTGATGTTGATGGATCAGGACACATCAATGAGGCAATTAATAGAGCTTTAACATAATCATTGCACCATGATAGAAACTCTTGCAAAGAATCTTCAATATATTTTTATTTAACTCTCTGCATCCTCCTCCAATTAATTAATTAATGAGGGGAAAAATAATATATAATTCAAAATTTATTGGGATAACCTCAATCATTCATGAAGAGTCTAACAATTTCTAAATGAGAATGATCCTTCTGAAGTCATCATGTTTTAAGAAACCTTTGTTATAGAAAGTAAGGAGATCGAGTTTATGCTCCGACGACTACACGCTCTACCTGTTTTGCATGAACAATAAATATTTTAATAATTGAAAAAAAAATCAAAATCTTTAAACATAAACTGAATTAGAAGAATTCTTACTTTGATTCACCTAGGTGATTGATGTTCTTAGTTCTTGATCTTTGTATAAACAAATACAATAGATTTTTTTTTTTTTTACCTATGTTTAAAGAGATACAAGGATGAAAAACATATTTATAAATAAAATTAATCGAATATAATCTATGAACTTGTTAATTAAAAAGTATTTTGAATGAATTGCTATGTGAATGCAAAAGGTGAAAAACTCAAAAATAATTTAGAAAATGTTAATATGGTGTGAAAGCAATCCAATGTTCTTGGACTCCTTGTCGAAAAGCAATTCAATATTCTTGTACTCCTTGTTGAACATGATTTGCAAGGATAAGTACAACTACGATGTCTTTTTCCGAGTTAATCAGTACCTTACAGGTTGTTGTTTGTAACAATTCTATTTTTGTTTTATTATGATTAAATTATTTGATTTGATTTGAATTAATAAATAAATTGATTTTAAGAGATATAATATAATTTATTTTTTATATTACATTTATAATATTTCTTGTATTGAAAAAAAGGATAGATTTTTGAAGTATTTTTATAAACTGAATTCCATTTATAATTCAAATATTAATTTTCTTAAAATCTTTGAATGGAATTAAATCTAAAGAATTAAAAACATTTTTTTTATAGTTTTTTTTTTTTACGTGGGGTGTCCGGGCCAGATTACGCGCATTACAACTAATCCCCACGGTCCACTGAACATCCTGCAAGCTCAGTGGACAGATAAGGCACCGCGGGGATGACAGATGTGTAATTAATAAATAAATTGATTTTAAGAGATATAATATAATTTATTTTTTATATTACATTTATAATATTTCTTGTATTGAAAAAAAGGATAGATTTTTGAAGTATTTTTATAAACTGAATTCCATTTATAATTCAAATATTAATTTTCTTAAAATCTTTGAATGGAATTAAATCTAAAGAATTAAAAACATTTTTTTTATAGTTTTTTTTTTTTACGTGGGGTGTTCGGGCCAGATTACGCGCATTACAACTAATCCCCACGGTCCACTGAACATCCTGCAAGCTCAGTGGACAGATAAGGCACCGCGGGGATGACAGATGTGTATAGTAAAACTCAAATTCAATTGCGGAGGAAGGGACAAGCCCCTCCCACTGCTGGGCTACAACCTTACTTGCAAGACGAGGGATTAGTTCTTATTAAAACAGTTGATGGACGAGGGATTAGGACACATGAATGACGCTAATAAATGTCCAAGAGAAGATCGTTTTCAGGAATCTAAGGGGTGGGAACTGGTGGCCTTTGTCTTCGAGTCGTAAAGATGAGGCTGTACTTAGACTTCATGGAAGCCATGGAATCTAAGAAAATTTAAACTATGGACTATATGCCTATATGTCTTCGACTTTCCTAACATTTCTTTTCTTGACCATAAATGCATGTCGAGAGAAAAGCTTCCTTTTAATTACACATAATCTTTATCTAATACAACAATTAAAAAAAGGGTTAATTTGGATGCTTGCCTTCGTCACAGTTGATTGTAGTTAATCTCTAATCATAATTAATTTCAAAAATTATTCCTAATAAGCGGCCATTTCCGAGAGTCAAACCATGGAAAAAAAACTATACCCTAAGATCCCTGCATCGCTTGACCACTACAATGGATGTAAGTCTTTTTTATTTTTTATGGGGAAAAGTTACTGGAATGCCGAAAACACCCCTGTTACAATTCAAGAAAATATTTTAATAACTAATGATAAATCATTTTCTTTTTATATTGAGAATTTTTTGTCCCCCCAAGTGGCTGCCACTCCTGAGCTGAGATTTCAGATCCCACCACCACCCCTGCAGGCGTGCATTTACTGCTCTCATCAATATATAGGACAAATAAGCACCTTTATATTTTAAAAGTATTTTTTAAAATTTTTAAAATTTTTCTGCAAAAAAAATGAAGGTAGTGGACCAAGCTGTAAGTGAATAGGTACCAGATAGCAAGGCATGTGACACTGTGCCTTTAATTTCAAAGCTCACATAATGAGGTCTGCAAAATATCCGAATCCAATAAAATTCATCGAATCCTTGTGCTGACCATTTCACTCTTGGCCGGCCCTTAAGCGGAATCTTTCCTTGTATTCTGCTAAGAATCTCTTTAAAATCCTAGAGCTCTTCTAGCGGATACTTACACTACACTACACTACACTACACCCGTTTTTAAACAGGAGCAAAACATACAGTTCTTGGGGCATTCACTATCTGCGAATCTTGAGATCATGGCTGGGGCAAATGAGGTTCAGGCCATGGAAATAGAGGATGAAGAGGAGTGTCCAGTAAAGCAAGTAGATCTTACTGTTCTGAAAACTGATGACCCCACCTTGCCTGTTTTGACATTCAGAATGTGGGTTCTTGGTCTTGGTTCTTGTGTCCTCTTGTCGTTTGTAAACCAGTTTTTCTGGTACAGGACACAACCGATGTTCATTTCGTCTATTTCTGCACAGATTGCTGTGGTGCCGTTGGGGCATCTAATGGCTAAAAAACTGACCACTCGCAAGTTCTTTGAGGGTACAAGCTGGGAGTTTACCATGAATCCTGGACCTTTTAATATTAAGGAACATGTGCTGATCACAATATTTGCCAATTCGGGTGCTGGAACTGTTTATGCTACGCATATTCTCACTGCTGTTAAGCTATATTACAAGAGGAAACTGACTTTTGTTCCCGCCTTGTTTGTTATGATTACTACTCAGGTTTGTTTCCTTTTCCTTGTCAGATCTTTGCACGGTTGAATTAACATACTCGTATTTCTGTATGATCTTGAATGCCCTTTAGTAGAAAGTTCATAGAATGGTTTCTGATGATCTTTTAGTTGCTCTATGGATGTATTCCAGGTACTAGGATTTGGTTGGGCTGGTCTTTTCCGGAGATATTTGGTGGAGCCAGGGGAAATGTGGTGGCCATCTAATCTGGTTCAAGTCTCTCTGTTCAGGTAATTATGTGTATTTGCAATATGTATTAATCAATCGTCTGCTGTATTAATAGCACGGCTGTATCTTTAATTGTTTTTCTGAATCTATGATCAATTCAGGGCTCTACATGAGAAAGATAAAAGACTGAAAGGCTACACAACTCGTACCCAGTTCTTTCTCCTAGTCATAATTTGCAGCTTTGCATACTATGTCTTGCCTGGCTATCTTTTCACTATGTTAACATCCTTCTCTTGGGTCTGTTGGCTTGGTTCCAAGTCTGTTCTGGTTCAGCAACTAGGTTCAGGCTTGCAAGGACTTGGAATAGGCGCTGTAGGGTTTGATTGGGCTACGGTTTCTGCTTATCTTGGAAGTCCACTAGCCAGTCCATGGTTTGCTACTGCCAATGTTGCAGTTGGATTTTCCCTAATAATGTATGTGATGACACCCATCTGTTACTGGCTCAATGTCTACAATGCCAAGAACTTTCCATTATATTCAAATGAGCTTTTTACAGCAAAGGGTGAGGAGTACGACATCCTCAACATCATCAATTCAAAGTTTCATCTGGATCGGGATGCTTATGCAAAGTTTGGGCCAGTACACATGAGCACCTTCTTTTCTATGACCTATGGCCTTGGATTTGCCACACTTTCTGCTACTGTTATGCATGTCCTACTCTTTAATGGAAGGTAATAAGCTCCATCTCATAGACATCAACCTTTAGATGAAGCTATTGTTTTGTGTGTCCTAAGTTTTCTGTTTGTACCTGCCACATGCAGTGACCTATGGAAGCAAAGCAAAAGGGCCTTTGGGGGCAGAAGGAAAATTGATATACATACAAGGCTCATGAAGAAATACAAATCAGTTCCCACATGGTGGTTCTACATCATCCTTGTCATAAACATTGCTGCTATAATCTTTGCTTGTGAGCATTACAATGAATCACTTCAATTGCCATGGTGGGGTGTTCTGCTAGCTTGTGCCATCGCATTTTTCTTCACTCTGCCAATCGGTATCATCAGTGCCACCACAAATCAGGTAAAGATGTTCAGACTTGTGCTTGCAAGCTAAGTTCAGTTATAGTGCAACCCCATCATAATATCCTGATAATTTTTGTTCTCTTTGGGATAAACAGCAACCAGGTCTTAACGTTATCACGGAATACATTATAGGGTACATGTATCCAGAGCGGCCGGTTGCTAATATGTGCTTCAAGGTGTATGGATATATAAGCATGACTCAAGCTCTAACGTTTCTAGCAGACTTTAAGCTAGGGCACTACATGAAAATTCCACCTAGATCAATGTTCATGGCACAGGTTAGTTTTTTGTGAGTTTCAAATCAGTGCATAACATGATGTACAAGGTTCAATAGTGAACATAATGACTTCACAGGTGGTAGGAACACTTGTGGCTGTACTTGTATACCTAGGAACTGCCTGGTGGATGATGGATGCCATTCCCAATCTTTGTAGTCAAGACAACGGCCCGTGGAAATGCCCGATGGACAGGGTGTTTTTTGATGCTTCTGTCATATGGGGGCTGGTTGGACCGCGCAGAATCTTCGGCAACCTTGGCGAATATGGAGGTGTCAATTGGTTCTTTCTCGGTGGGGCTGTAGCCCCTCTCATAGTCTGGATTTTTCATAAAGCATTCCCAAGAAAGGAATGGATCAGCCTCATTCACATGCCAGTCCTGTTAGGTGCAACATCAATGATGCCTCCAGCTTCTGCTGTGAACTACACCAGTTGGATTATTGTTGGATTCCTCTCTGGATATGTTCTGTTCAGATATCGAACAGAATGGTGGAAACGTTATAATTACGTGCTCTCTGGTGGCCTTGATGCCGGGACAGCCTTTATGACTCTGTTGATCTTTTTCGCTCTCGGATACTGGGATGTTGGCCTGACATGGTGGGGAAGCAATTCTAACAACCCAGAAGGATGCCTCTTGGCTAGCTGTCCAACTGCCAAAGGGATCGTTGTAGATGGCTGCCCAGTTCTCTGATCAAACTGTATATTTTTACTCTCCTCTTGCCCCGTTTTCGAAACAATAATATTTACTTCTGTAAATACATATAGGCAGCTGGTTGCTGCTGTGCTTGATAATGGGTTCCTAGATGAAAAACTTTGTTGAAGATTTCCTTTTAGCATGCAATCAAATGGGTTAAATTCTTCCAGTAGATCACTATCTTTGGAACTACTATAGTTTCAGACCAAGTATTAGAAGGAAAAACCGAAGTGGATGTGGACTTTCATGTTTGAGCTTGAAGTGATTTCAGGAATGGTGATCACTTGCACAGGAACTCTTTTGGATGGAGACTCTCTATCCATATTTATTTTATTATTTTTTTTAAAAAAAAAACCCTATAATAGCTCAGATTTTAATTGCGAACCAAGAGTGAATTCATCGGAAATTATGTTTAGGAATAAAGGCTTTAGGTAGTTGGATAATGGGCTTAATAAAGTGGTCTTCCCTAATAAAATAGCATTCAGGAGCTTTCCGATCTTTCACATCATTTTAGCAAAGATACAGTATACACTAGTTCATAGGCCTTCAACGTAAAAATCATTGCTTTTTTGGTTTTGGTTTAGGGATACTTTTGTCTTTTAAATATGGTTGTCTTATAATTATTGAATTCATTAGGGGTTATATGGTCATTCACTACATAAGCAAATTACAAAAATCCTAGAGGTGCGTGAACAATGCCAAAACCTTTCTTCGAGGCAACGAGAACGAGTTGGATAATAGTTTCTGGTTTAACATGTGTAACCTTTTTTAAGCTCTTTTTTTTTTTTATTCCTTTAATATTTTGCTAATTTTTTTATTCGTTGTACCAAATTCTTAGATTTTTACTGTTTCTTTTAAGACGTGCATGAATATTTTTTTCCAGGACAGCAGCTGCTATCTAACTGGGTATCTTCTATATGTTTGCAGAACCTTCGTTGTACTTATCCGAGGTCGACGAATCTAGCCTTGTCGATGACTGCAAAAGGTTTCTGAATAGCAAATAGGATACAATTTGGAAACATGACAGGAAATATGTGAAAGAATTAAATTCTAATTTCATTAACATAGTGTAAAGGCAAGTTATCAGAAGGAAATGTTAAATACATGTGTAAAAAGAATGGAAATCTTTCAGATGAACAATCAGAAATAAGAGGATTGTTCATTAAGAACATTCAATTGAGCAAGTAATTTAGCTGCTTGGGATTTCATGCTACTGCTTCCCCTTTGTGTTATATCAACTAATGACATCTTGGCTGAATTTCCATATTTTTGCTTGAATTCAAATAGTCGAAAGATTCGCTCTAGAGCCCCCAGTGTTTTCTCCTGCACCCTGGCAGAAGGTGAGCTCAATAGCTTTATAATTTGAACAATGGCATTTGCTTCAGCGAGCACCTTACTACCACTTTGTAGTTTTTGTCCATCGATCAATGTCAGGAGTGCATCTAATGAAGCTTCACAGACTCCAAGATCAGCTTCTCCAAGCATCCTCACCAGGGGTTCCAGAGCATTAGCCTCCAAAATGCAGAAGGAAGATTCCACTGTACAAATTCCCAGATGTACAGGGCAGCATGTGACTGGTGCAGCCAAGCAGGAGAAAAGACCACGTTTTTTCACTGGGCTGCTTAAGGAACTTGAACTTTCAGAAAGCTGTTTAAGAGAAATGGCAGCACTTCGTTTCATCAAAGCAGTTCCAGAAACCAGTAATTGCACAAGCACCGGAATAATTCCAACTTTGGCTACTCTCTTCTGCCACTCCTGACTCTCAGTGAAACGACAAAGAGCTTTAATGGCATTCTCTGTTATCTGCTTTCTGTGTGAGGCATTTCTGCTCTCATCAGTGAGACAGGTAGAAATGACCTGAACTGCCCCAGCATCTACAAGCCACAAAGTTATATTTGGGTCATCAGGAAGATTAGAAATAATACCCATGGATGCAGCAATCTCCTCCACATCAGTCGATACCATAATGACCTTGACCAAGGTCTCAATGCATCTTTGACCCACATGTTCCAAAATGATGCTGTTATCACCATCTTCTGTCAAGCAGCAGAACAGCTTCATGGCATTTGCCCGTACTATACTATGATCATGCTCACATAATTGAACCAATACTTGGACAGCAGAGAGCTACAAATATCAAAAGCATTAAAAAATGAGGGAATAGGCAATTTCATACAAAAATGATTTTTGATCATTTGTTCCAAGATCAGAAAAGAAAATCCGGGTATGCAAAAGAACAATGCATTATCTGAAAGTGCCGTGGATATAATAAGGTCAGAGTTCTTCTCCTTGATACTAAAAGTGCTCATAGGATTGCATACCTGTCTCAGTTTTTCTCTTATTTCTACACCGGAAGGAGATTGGCACATTGCAAGAAAAGTTCGAAGAATGCTCTTCTGAATCTCCGGACCCGTCAAGGAAATTAGACAGAAGAGCTTAAAAATATCTTCCTCAGATTCCAGTAATGAGATCTGCTCATGATCAGCTTCTTGGCAAGTGGTTGCTATGGCAAGGTTCATAATTATGGTTGCAACATGCTCGCGCAAACGTGGTGATGATAAGCCGTGTCGATAAAGAATTTCAAAAAGAGGTCCAACTGCACCTTCTCTGATCATCTGAAGACCATTTTCTGGTACATTTGAAAGGTTCTGAAGAGCTTTAACAGCCACTTTTTTCACTTCTAAATCGTCATTCGAGAGAAACCGAAGAAGAGGCTCTAGTGCCCCATATTTAAACAAGGATAATTTATTGTGATCAGTCAAATCAATTTCTGCTAATGTCCCAGCCATGACCATTCTAACATTTTCTGGCCCTGCATCATGTGACAAGAAATGAATCGTAGTCATCTTGATAAAAGGTTACTAGATAAGAACATAGACAAACAACCTTAAACACACATCTTAATAAGCAATGATGTAGAAAATTATCCTCGGCTGATCACTAATTTCTCAAGGAAATATAAACATTGGTCAGACATTTGAACTCGGTGATATTTATCAGAGTAAAGCTTGCATATGGATGACCAAGATTTCTTGATGATAAGAATTTTTAATCATTGCGAAACGCTAAATCAACTGAGTAGCACACCTGTTATTAGATTCATCATTGAAGAAATATAAATACCATTATAAAAGCATACCTGAAGAAAGAAGTCGCAGTAATGGCTTAAAATAGTTAGCCTTTGCCATCTGTATAACATTTTGATCAAGGAAAGACAGATTCTCCAAAAGCTCTGCTGCATCTCTGGCAGCTTCAATTTCCTTACTGTTTAATGTGGTCACTAGGAGAAAAATACAGGCCTGAATATTTCCGATTAAATCTCGCACCGCATTGTTTCTTGATAGTTCAAGTAACAACTGCAAGGCTAACTTACTTTCCTCAATCTGGCGTGCAAGCGACCGAACTATAAATTCAAGTGCATGATCTACTTCAGCAATTTTTTCCTGCCAAAATAGTATGTTCAACTTGATAAAACATCTGAAAATCACACACACACACACACACATATAAAGATGAATTATGAGAAAGTTGAGGGCATCCATCTTCTTCGGAATTGATAAAGTATCATCCTCCCTTATGTTGCTAAAAGAACAAAATAAGAAAGTGAGATTATTTACATGATGACCCATCAAAGAACATTACATGGCTAGTTCAGGTTTTTTTTTTTTTTTTATCTTATCAATGATGAACAATTAAATAGAGTGTGTGTGCGTGCGTGCGCACACGAGCAAGAAAATGGTCTTCAGATGTACCTTGTTGTGGTCACTGCCCTTTGCAAGGATGCAAAGGATGGACAGAGTTTGGATTCTTATTTCACGATTTCTCGCACCAAGAAATCCAGTAAGAACTGGCACATAGTCCTCCAACATCACCCATTCTTGGTGAATCTCTCGTTCTGCCATCAGATCTTGCAGCTTGCCCAATGACTGAAGAACTTCTTGCTCTTCATTTGATTGAAGTTTTTGTTTAATGGAAATAACGATAACCAAGTTGTTTCTTTCCTTCCATTCCTCAATCGATCTACGAAGAGTTACGTTAGGTCGTAAAACCGAAGTGTCTAAGGTAGTGAAGGTCAAGGGACAAAGGTTGTGCCCTTCCGCAAACCATTTCTCTATTGCACTTCTCTCGAATGTTTTACCGGAGGAAGTTTCCACAGGATCAACCATTACATCATGAGTAATTGGACAAAAGAATGAATGGAAAGGTTCCAAAGCTTGTCTACCCAGAGAATTTCTCTTGTCAAGGTACTTCCTTTCTCGCTCCTCATAAGATGTAGTGGCATCAGCCTTTCCAAGAAACGAACTGATCTGCTCCATCTGTATAGCTTCTGCCATGTCCTTTCTTAGCTTGACATTTTCAATTTCGTTCTTGAATTCTTCGAACTCCTCCTTCAAACCTGAACGATCACCAGAGATCCCTACAGCTTCAGCAATACTAGCCAATAAATTGTTTGCATAAGATTGATCTACATTTCCCTCATTTATTGCCCACTCAATCTTTCCCAAGACTTCCTCCTCCAATCCTGCTACTCGATATTCTGCATCCAGCATATTCTTGCATAGCTTGCTGATTTCATTACTTAAACCCAATGAAACATCTAAAGAGGCAAGAGGTATGAGACTCAAGGCACGACCGATCTCTTTCGTGCACGCCTCCAAATGCTTAACAATTTTTCGACAATTCAGAAAGAGATAGACCTTGTTCTTGCTGCTGCACTCAACAGCTAGCCTCTTAGCAACTTTAGTCTCACAATTTAGAATCTCTACAGCATTATTCAAGTTCTCAGAATGTTCTAGGTTGAACCTTGCTAAATCTTTCAAGAAATATGCTGTCTTCTCCAAGTACGTCAAGAATCTCTTGAAATTCTCCTTTTGAATGAGCACTTCTTTAGCTGCATGTACTGTGTCAAATATGGAATCTACAGTATGTGAAAGCAACTCCGATACTGAAACGATTGATGCATTGACAATAACTTCCCTTGCCATCTCATTACTAAGGAAAACCTACAGATAGATCACCAACCCTTATCAAGTTACCTAAAAGTCGCAAAATTAACGAATCAAGAGTCCAACGCTTTCGTGAAATCTTCCGACAGCAATGCCAGAAATCCAACTCACATTCAAGAAAGTACCCGTGTCTGCAATCAGTTTCAGAAAATTTTCTAAGACAATAGACGTATTCTTCTTCAACCAAACAACACAACTTTGAGAGCAAATGTAAAAAGATAAAATGAAAATATACACCAGATGGATTTTTCTTGTATCACTTGCCAAAAGGGGGAAAACGAAATCAAAATTTCTTCTCAAAATTCAAACAGCTGAACTAAGAGTCAGGTTCGAAAACAATCTCATGTATCATCATAGTCTAGTCAAAACTGAAAGATTTTCGCAATGTCATTAACTGATATTTCTTAAAATATAATTTAAAACTCGCGATTGCATACATAATGAAATCCTTGTTCCGAAGTCTCAACTAATTTCTCTGGCAAGCGCTCGCACACATACAAACACACACGCACGCATGCATGTTTGCTAAGACTCTAGGATCTAAATCAAGAATACATACCTATGACAAAATCAATTATTTTCAAAATTTCTTGAATTTTCTTCTCTTGAATTTGTAGTCTTTAAATGATATCTGCATTTTATTAAAGAATAATATAAATTATATATTAAAATTTCATTTAATAATTTAAGTTAAAAAGTTAAAATAATTTTTTAACATATTATTAAAGTGTTGATGACCAAACTATCATGATTTTAAATCTTATAATCTCTATCTATTTAATAAAATTAAAAAACAAAATAATATAAATAATATATCATATATTGATAAGTTATTTAACAATTTAAATTATTAAATTGAAATGATTCTTTAACCTATCTAAATATATAACATTGAGACTTTGTTTCAGGTATAAAGCAGCACATTGGATGTCTAGATAATCAGATTTGGCACACAACGCAGCAAATTTCCTATAATCTTTCACTAATAAATCATTAAGCAAGCACAGAAAAAACCAAAGAAAGAAAAAATAAAAAGAAAGGTGTGTGTGTATGAAACCTGTCATAATTTGATTAGAAATTTAATCTAATTAATTATTCCTAATCAAAAAATTAAACAGTCCAACTTGAAACAAAACACATATTAATACATTATGGGATGCCAACTTTCTCAGCAACCAAACAAACCCCTACAAACACACACGGAAAGAAAACTGACCTGATGATCAGAAAGTAAAAACCAGCAGAGTCTCCAATGCAGAGCTAAAACTTTAGGGTTTGATGAAGATAGGGAGAGGGTAGCAGGCAGTGAAAGAAAATGGGAAGAAATTCTTCTTCATCTTTTATTTTTATTTTTAGCAATTTATCGTTTCTTTATGGTCTAGCACCTAACCGAAGACTTGGAGTCAACGAACACTGTGTATCACTACACCATGGTTATTGTGCATGTGATCTATAAGGTCTTGCCACGTAATAGAATCAAGATGTTTTGGTATTTGATGGGACACGTGGAGAATCATGAGGTGATAGTCTATGAATTGAAGTTAGTCAGTGCGAGTATGGGAATTATGCCAGGAGCATGAGAGACGTTGTCGTACAAAAGGCGCCAAGTAACTGTAATCGCAAAGGTAATGTTTGTTATTTGTTTTTATTATTATTATTATTTTATTTTGAAATATATTAGAATAATATTTTTTTGAAAATATTAATTTTAATATTAGTATAGAAAATAATTTAAATTATTAAAAAATTAATTTAAAATTTTTTAATTTTTTAAAAATTCAGTTAAGTCATGAAAACAAATGAGGTGTAAGATAAAAAAAAAAATTAACCCCAAACTTTTTTTTCTTATAAAATATAATTTCACCATCCCCACCAACCATCCATCTTATTACCACTGACAAATTACTAAAATTAATATAAAATTAGCTAACATAATATATACATATATATATATAACGGTTTTAAATTAAATTTATGGTAATAGTAATTATCATAAATTTGGTTCATATCACTTTTATATTTTATATTAACACAAAATAACAAAGGTTTATGTTTTTACGGCATTACTTGATATTTTATATCGAAGTACTTATATCGAAATAGTTCTTTGATTCACTAATTTGTTGTTGTAGCTGTTTCCCTTTTTCTTTTTCTTTTTTAATTCAAGCTCTGCTTGGTTTTGCACGCATGGAGTCCAGACCTACACACACACATACATATAATTAGATTCCAAGGAACACCCAGCTAGTAGATTTGACCGAGTATTAAATAATTAATATTAAAAAGAAAATTACCTGCTGGTACGGGCATTGGTGGCTATGGTTGCAAAAGCAGCCATGTTCTTTATTGGTTACAATAAAACCCATTAATTTATGAATTAAGAATCTTATCTTCTCACACTATACCATAATGCTTGCCTTAAATTAATGAACAGTTAAACTTTCCTGTTGATGTTTCCATCATTCAAAGTCATCTTTAGATTCTCAGGAAATTTAGCAGAAAGCACAGCATTATTTTCTTAATATGTAAATGGTACGGAGTTTTGTTTTTTAAATCCGCAATCAGACAATAATCTTAACGAGGGTATCAGCAATGGAGCTTAATATAAGAGCACCAATGGGCTATATGTCTATTAGTCTATAGCTTGGACGGCGAAGTATACTGCTTAGGCATGCTAATCAAGGTCATTTTACCAAATAAATACACTAATTGTAGCTCAACTCCTGATATTAATCAGCGTCATTGCCCATTTGTTGGAAGATTAAGGAGGTAATATCTCACGTATCTTAAATTTGATTAAGAGGGTATAACTTTTACGCAGAGTGACAATCTATGGAAGCAGGTGAGACCATATGATGAAGACTTGGGCAGAAACATGGAATCAGGCATGAAAGAGCAGTGCTTGATGATCAGCTTAGCTAACACGATATATAAGAATGGTTATGTATTAGTTTCCTGCTGTTGACATGCTCTGTGGCATTGCCCCTTAATTTCTTTGGCAGTTTACAGTAACTCAGAACTTGATTTAGAAAGAATGAAAAAAAGAGAATAAGACTGTATATTTTTTTTTAATTATTAAATAATAGTACAACATAATCTGTTAAATATTATTACAAATATAATTTTAATTTTAATTCTAAAATTATAATTAATACAGGTTGATCAATACGACAAAATATCCATCATAAAAAAAGAAGTTCACAATTATAAAATTTAAATTTTTTATAATTGTTATTTTTTAAAAAAACTTTCTTTTTAATCTTTAATATCCATTAGCTAATTGGAGATGCAGTAATTATAAAGTTTGAATGTTTATAACTATAATTTTTTTTAATATTTATCAATTATAAAGTTTGAATATTTATAATTGTAATTTTTTTTTCGATATTCAATATTTGTTATTTCATAACAGATTTTAGGACGAAATTTCGCAAAGGAGATTTTGGGATGCACATCGAAGTAATTATAGCCAATGTGCTTCTCGATGATGCATGATGCATCCATCAAAATGGGAAGAAGAAAAGACCTCAGACACCATCAGAAATTAAACTTAATCCAGAAACGAATTTTTTGAACAATGATGGGAAGGAGAACTAGTAGATCCACAAAAACACTTCTCATGAGTTTTAACATTGCATTTCATTGGTGTTTCAAATAGAAAAGAAATATACAACAATTATAGAAATTTGTCTGGTTAAAACAAAAAGATAATGACATAAAAAATTATTCTTATTATTTTAAAATATATTTTTATTGTTTTTGTCTTTTTGTGTCGAGATATATCATATATATCTTATTTGGGTACTGCAGGGTTTTACTTTTCAAAATATTTTTTATTTTAAAATATATTAAAAAATATAATTTAAAAAAATTATTTTTGATATCAACACATTAAAACAATAAAAAAAACATAATAAAATTATTTTAACAAAAAAAATTAATTTTTTAGAAAACATGATTTCAAGCATGTTTTCAAATTACCTCTTAATATGATCAAGAAATCTTAAAAAAAAAAAAACCCTGAAAAGGTATTTTTCAGAATCAACTAGTTTAATGAAGTGCAAGGCTCATCATTCATTCAAGAGAAAATGAGGAAGAAATCTTAATACAAAAAGTAGAGGAGGAAAAAAGAAAGGAGGAAAAATATTCAAGCAAGCAACTCCATCATTTAACACCATCAGGCATCATAAGTAGTAACTAAAAGTGTGTTTCTTCTACTCTTGAAACAAATAAAAGATGAGAGAACGAAGCGTACAAGAGTGATATTGATTCGGCTCGTCTTCAGCGAAGAACTTCTGATGCAAATACAGAAGATGAGCCGGATCAATACCACGCCATGTCTGCTTCTTCAAAAACAAGCCCATTTCTTGATCTCGATCTCTTCCATGTACACACTACTTCACCTCAATGCTTAGATAGAGGAGCTGGAACCTCCATATATATAGAAGAAGAGGAGGAGGAGCTAGGAGCTACAATATTTAGGGTTTTTCGGTCTCCATATTGTGGATGCCCCGGCCCCTAGATTTAAGGGATAAGGTCAAGGACTATATAAGCATATTAATTGGAACAATGTTATCATGATCAAGATTTGGGAATCCCACTATCAATCCTCCTCATGTTGTTTAGGAAAAGGACCTGCATAATGGAGGATTTCTTTTTATCTTGGCATGTGAACAAGAAGGACGAGCGAGTCATCTCACATTTGTGTTGTAAATGTGCACATGTGATGGTTAGTTTTAGGGTTATTCATGGGTGGTCGGGTTGGGTTGAGTCGGGTTATTATCCATAATTGTATCCACGCTATATTTGATATTCATATCTGATTTATTCAAAAAAAAAAAATAGACCCCAACAAGTTAGGTATATATAGGGTTAAGTTGAATTTTTTATAAATGTTACAAATATATGTAGGCTAAGTATGTAAATTTTCTTATTCATTCATTGATTATTTAAAATAATACACTTTAAAAGACACATAATTGTTTGTTGCCATGTACTTTATAGTATATATAAAATGAAGAGCGAGGAGGACAAAAAAAAATATATTTATAATGAGTATGAGTTATGCAAGATAGATGATTTTTTAAAATCACAACCCATATTTAACTCATAATTAATATTCATTTATTTGTTTTTTTACTACTTATTATTTGTAATATGTTAATATTCGCATTAACCAACATCAACAGGTTGGACCTGATAAAATAATATAAATATTATCAATTATTGGTTTTTTGAGCACCCCCGGTTAATTTACTGTTGAACCAAAACTTTAATAATTCCATTACAGCCAGCCAACTAGCTCCACAGTCACCTATAAACTCCACAGTCACCTATAAATCCAGGAACACATACATGAAAACGCTGCAATATGTTTGATTACACCAAGGAGGTAATGGCATGCAATCTCTGTGCAAGTATTTGGCAGGGTCGGAAACAGAAATGGCGTCCTCAGGATTGTAAATACAAAATTGAAAAGGAGAGATACGAGAGAAAATATGTTATTTTGGCACCAGAGCCATAAGGATATTTGACGATAAGATTAGTTTTTGTTCGAAGTGATTAGAGTGATGGAATTTTAAATATAAAAATAAATATATGTTTGGGATAATTTTAAATTGAACTTTTACTGTTTTAATATAAAAACAAGCCCATTTATCTTGTCTTTTTTGTTTCTTGTTTCAACACTAATAAAAAATTGTTAAATAGTAATATAATTATTGATACAAAGTATTTATCAATTATACCTAATTATATTAGGGGTGAAAAATATATATTGAAAGTTACCAACATCATTGGTGATAGAATATCTTACCTTTGTAATTACTAATAAACTTGATAATAAAATAAAAAATTAAAACATATTTTATCAGTGATTTCATTAATATAACAAAAAATAAGTTAATGAGTTATTTAACAAATATAAATTTTATTTTGTTAATTTTATTGTTAAGTTTAAATTTTTTTTATGGAACAATAATTAAATTATATTAATTTAGATTGAATAAGTTTAAACAAAACATAGATAAATTAATTGGTACCAATTACTTGTTGTTTACTGTTTGTTAGATTTTGATGCAACATTAATTTTTTGTATAAATGATAAGTGATTATTAGATTATGAATTTATTTTAATTATCAAAGTTGAACTTTAAATTGATATTGATAGTTATATTATTAATAAATATTATTATTAATATTTTAAATAAATTTCATAAATAATAAATAATTATTCTCAGATGTATTAAGATTTATCTTATAGGTATATAGAAAATTATTGTAAAGAGATTGAGAATTTTATTAATTTTTTTTTTTCAAATCCAAATAATATTAGTAGAGAATGAATTAGATATCATGTGAAAGAAAAATATAAAAGCTTTACCAATGAAATGTTGTAATGACAACTTTGTATTTCTTATAAAATCATATTAGAAAGGATTGTAGTTGTAGATAATAATAACATTTATTATAAAAATATATAATAATGGATATTCTTAGTTATTTTAGAAGGAGATTCACATGTATTTTTTATTTTTAATCAATTTCAATTG